ACTATGTTTTTCTTTGTGAGTTCTTTAAATACAAGACAGCATCTGAAAACTTTCTTAACTAGTTGAAAAAACTGTAACTCAGGAGGCCAGAAAACAAAGGAAATTTTCTTTTAAAAAAACATCAACTTTCTGGTGAGAATATGCATAGAGAAACAAACAACTAAAGCCACCGCTCCTTTGACTGCAATGTCCAGGTTGGGGGTGGAAATATTGGGATGGGAGGCCTCTGTTTTTCCTCCCCTACATTCTCTCGCCCAGGTGGATGCTGAGTAGTTCCCAGCCACATTCCTGCCTTACAGCAGTGGTGGGTAACCTGCGGCCTGAGAGCCACAAAGAGCCCACCGAGGTTCTAGGAGTGATCCGTGAGACGTTTTGTTACTGTTGCCCATGTGCAGGGTTGCCAGATTCTGCTAGTTTCTGTCCATATAGTTTTTTTTCCTACCAGTTTTTTTCCTACTTAAGTGCGTAAAGCAAGTGAGGCATTGGCATGTGCTCCCTCTGCATCCAGTTGATTCAGTCAACACCCCCTACACATTCTAGGTATGCAAGCATAGTTAGCAAAACTACCCTGTCACAGGAGCCTGTCTTGGTTACCACAGCTTTGCACAGAGGTGAAAGTAAGTAGGAGCACCCTGGTGTGCTGCTCTGGCAAAAAGCTGGCTGAGCTGCAGCAAAAGCCATCAGAGGGCTATTTAAAGAGCTGACAGGAACTCAGGACAGTGCCTGTAAGACATTTTAAATTACTTTTACTGCAAAAGGCCCACCGAGATGAAGGAGGGCTGCTCATGCAGCCCATTCACCAGCCTAGGTTGCCGATGGCTGCCCTACATGCATGTGAAGGGCTGCCAAGCAGACTGGAGGAGAGGTTGTAGTCATGGAGTGTGCAGGATCACGCCAGTCTCCGGGGAGCAGGTAGGAGGCCCGGCCAAGCCTGGTCCTGCTGTCCAGCCACCAGATATCTGACAGGAACACCCAGCCCAGGGCAGGATAGGAGCAGTGCAACCGGAGCCAGGATCATGGAGGGGAGGGGACAGAGTCCCAGTGCAAACTGTTGGCACAGAGGGCGCCCGGTGGGAAACAGGATAATGTGCGACAGTCTCCAAAGAATTGCCATGGGAACTATGGGGATGCACCTTTCCAGCCTGGAGCTGCCTCTCACACCACCTCCTTCCCAGTGTCAGTAGCTCCCCTCACTCACCTGCTTAGCCCTCGACAGACACCCCTTTGGACGGAGCTCCCCTTTGCACCCACCCCTCCCCACTCACACTTCACCTAACACAGCTGCTTTGCCTTGCCATGTGGTGCTGATTCTCTGTCTGCACTAAACCAATGTCCCAGGTTGGGTTAAGCACTCTGTGCTGCTAAGGGCACCATTTCATGAGGCCATTGCCCATGTTATTTTTGCTTCCTCCCCCCATCAGTCCCAACTCCAGCAAGTACATTCACCCTAAATTTCTCCTGCAGTTTTATCAGAAGAAGTTCTTTGTATGCTGAACAAAATTGCTGAGCAGTGGTCCTGGGTGCGGTTAAACAGCTGTGTGTTGTGTGGCTGGCGCAATGTCGATCCCGGGGCCTTAGCGAGACAAGGTGGGTGAAGCGCTATCTTTTATTGAACCAACTTCTGTTGGGGAGCGGGACAAGCTCTTGAGCCGCACTGGCTATGTCTACACCAGTGGTCACCAACCAGTAGATCAGGATCTACCGGTAGATCTTGGAGCCTCTGACAGGTGATTTTCACTGATTTGGCCAGGAAGCCATCAAGTGCTGACACTTCAGTTGCCTCCCCATCCACTGTCATCCTGCTCCTGCTCCTGCCTTGGAGCTTCCCCCCTGGGAGCCTCCTGCTTGCTGTGCAGGGTGTGGGAGGGAGAAGAGGGGAGCCTCCTCCCCCCACTCCTGTACCCCATCTCCACACAGAGAGAAGGGGATGGAGGGAGCTTGGCAATGCAAATCTCTATTGTGTGTGTCTGTGTCATTCTCACAAACACCAACTGTCTTGCATTCTCATTTCCTGACCCAACATATACATGGGGGCTGTTGTTACTTCTTGTGCTGCTAGCAAAGTGGGTTGTTTTTGGTTTGGGACTGGTCTGTGCATTTCATCATTTTCATTTCTCTCTTAGGCTTACATTTAATTCTTTGAGTAGTAAGTTCTAAAATGCCTAACCTGTCATGGTTGGAGTAATTATCCCTGTGGTAAGTGCTGCTCCTGGAAGTGGCTGGCATGTCCCCGCAGCCCCTGAGAGAGGCAGAGCAGGGGGTCTCCACACACTGTCCTTACCTACAGGACACCACTCCTGCAGCTCCCATTGATCAGTAATGGGGAAACTGTGGCCAGTAGAAGCTGTGGGCTCAGTGCCTGTAGATGAGGGGCAGCACATGGCCCCATGGAGCCATTGCTGTACATGCCTGCTGCTTTCAGGAGTGGTGCAGGGCCAGGGTATAAACCTGTCTTAATTCCACTGCTCCACCATCCGGAAGCTGTCTCAGTTAAACAGTTATTCCTAATTCAAAGTAGGAATAAGAGATCCTCCGGAAAAGGGCTTTTTTCCGGAGGATCGGGCCAGTCTAGACGCTCTTTTCTGGCTTTTCTACAAGCCGGAAAAAAGCGGCGGACATCTTTATTTAAATCCCGCGGGGGATATTTAAATCCCCCGCGGATTTCCCTATTACGAAGTATAAAATTAGCATGCCCCTTTCGGAAAAGGGGCCAATGTAGACGTAGCCATACAGAATGAGAAGTGACTGTCTAGAAAGGAGTACGGCAGAAAAGGATCAAGGGTCACAAGCTAAATATGAGTCAATCGTGTGACACTGTTGCAAAAAAAGCAAATGTGATTCTGGGATGCATTAACGGGAGTGTTGTGAGCAAGACATGAGAAGTGATTCTTCTGCTGATTAGGCCTCAGTTGGAGTATTGTGTCCAGTTCTGGACACCACTTTTCAAGAAAGATGAGGTGAAATTGGAGAAGGTCCAGACAAGAACAACAAAAATGAAGGTCTAGAAAACATGACCTATGAAGGAAGACTGAAAGAATTGGGTTTGTTTAGTTTAGAAAAGAGACGACTAAGAGGGGACATGATAGCAGTTTTCAGATATCTAAAAGGGTGTCATAAGGAGGAGGAACACTTGTTCATCTTAGCCTCTGAGGATAGAACAAGAAGCAATGGGCTTAAACTGCAGCAAGGGAGGTTTAGGTTGGACATTAGGAAAAACTTTCTAACTGTCATGGGGGTTAAACATGGAAATAAATTGCCTAGGGAGGTTGTGGAATATCCATCACTGGAAATATTTAAGAGCAGTTTAAGACCTCTGCCAGGGATGATTTAGATGGTGCTTGGTCCTGCCATGAGGACGGGACTGGACTGGATGCCTTTCGAGGTCCCTTCCAGTATTTTATGATTCTATGATTTTACAACTATGGCTACACTGGCACCTTCATTGCTAAACTTTGTCATTTAGGGGTGTAAAAAACACACCCCGACTGATAAAAGTTTTAGCAATGAAAGCACCTCTGTGGACAGTGCTTCATTGGAGGGAGTCGCGCTCTCATGGACAAATCACCATTGGGGATGGTTTTATTTTGTGGCTGCAGCAGTGCCAGTTTAAGGTGTGTGTTATATAGACGTAGCCCTAACCTCTAGCAGAGTTATACATTTAAGCTCCGATGTAATCTGGGAGATCAGACAGAGAGGGATGGGCTTTGGGTGGTGTTAATCCTTTTGTCTGTAAGAATGCATTTTTTGAGCGTATAGTGATTAGCTAGTTTCACCTACATAGGTGTTGTTGGGATATTTACTGCACTGGAAAAGAATTATAATATGTCATGAGCAGCACATGTAAGGTCTTTGAAAGGTTTGTTATGGAAGGGCAGGGGATGTGACATTGTAGTACTGGAGATCTAGTAGCAGCTTTTGTGTCTGATGTTTTGGCGGAGTGTAATGCTATTTTGAGTTGGCATGCCCTTGTGTGCAGGTTGGGATATGGCTCCCAGCTTCCCCCCTCCACTCCCTGTCCTCTGGGTGGAGCTAGGCTAGGCCATGGCTCCCAGCCCC